CTCTCTCTCTCTCTCTCTCTCTCTCTCTCTCTCTCTCTTTGCCTTCTTGCTCTTGCTACCAATTTCATTGCTAGCATTCCCTGCCATTAGAACCCACTTCCTCGGGCTGGAGATGGCTCAGTGGTTAAGAGCACTGACTGCTCTTCCAAAGGTCCTGAGTTCAATTCCCAGCAACCACATGGTGGCTCACAACCATCTGTAATGGGATCTGATGCCCTCTTCTGGTGTGTCTGAAGACAACTACAGTGTATTCATATATGTAAAATAAATAAATCTTTAAAAAAAAAAAAGAAAAAAGAAAGCTGGGCGGAGGTGGCACACACCTTTAATCCCAGCACTTGGGAGGCAGAGCCAGGTGGATTTCTGAGTTCGAGGCCAGCCTGGTCTACAGAGTGAGTTCCAGGACAGCCAGGGCTATACAGAGAAACCCTGTCTCGAAAAACCAAAAAAAAAAAAAAAAAAAAAAAACCATTTCCTTAGTGTTCTGTCAGACACTGAAGACCAGCTGAGACATCCAGCCTTGTGGACCGAACAACTACTGGATTCTTGGACCTTTCATTGGTAGACAGCCATTGTTGGACCATAGCTCATAAGCTATTATAATAAATCTCCCATATATATATACATATACATATATGCCCTCTCTGGAGGGCATAGAGTCTCCTAAAGCCCAGCTGTTCCTGGAGGAGCTTATGCAGGCAGTGGCAGCTGTTAGTACCCATTAGGACTTTATCCAGAAACACCAGAGCAGGCTGTGTGGACATCCTGGGAACAGTGACTTTCTCTATCAATAAAATACCAACTTCAAAGAGCCTGGGATCTTGACTTTGGATCTGCTCTGGTGCCAAGCAATAAGGAGGGAAAACTCCAGCCCCTGAGTGGGGCTGAGGCATGATTGAGGTTGGGGGTAGGGTTCTGTACAGATAGAGTACGGAGGCCTCCCATTCAAGAAGAGAATAAGGTTTCTGTCCTATCCCAGTTGGAATGAGGGCTCTGGAGCCAAACAGAGAGGGCTAGGGTGGAGCCAGCCAACCTTTGGCACATGAAGTGCCACCCTGCATTCATGGCAGATAATCTCAGAGATATTCATCCCGCTAGCAGGCAGACACTCTGAAAGCCTTGACTGTTTCTGCCTTACGGGGTCTCCGCAGGAATGCCAGGGGTCAGCAGACATAGACAGAGTTCAGGCTGGTGCAAAGCAGGGGGCGGGCAGCGTCTGGGCACTGCCCGAGGCCAGATGGAGTCTTTGTGCTCTGTGCCCTGGGAACACCCTCAACCCTGCAGACTGCCCACTGAAGAGAACTGGCTGACACCAGGCCAGGCCAGGGCCTGATCTCTCTATAATGTCTGGCACAAGCTGAGTAGGAGTGCCTTCTTGGACACTAGTTGCCACTGATTTCTGAAGGTGCAGGCAACAGCCTCCAGATCCACTTTGCCAGACCCTGTCTATACAACAGTCTTTAAAATGACAGTACCTGAACGCAGTGGTTACGAAATAAATGGAAACTCATGGATACTTACTGCTCTAGCAGTCTTCCAGGAGAGGACACTTTATGGCGTCAGTTCTCTTTCCAGTCTCACATAGGTTCCAGGGATTGAACGTGTGTCACCAGGTTTGTGCAGCAAGCACTTTTATCCACTGAGTCACCTGGCCAGCCTGTTGTATGTGATTTTTTTTAAGACAGGGTTTCACAGAGCTCCTGCTGAGCCCACTATACAGCTAAGGGTAATGTTGGACTCTTGATATTTTTGCCTCCACCTCCAGGGGTTTACCATCTCCTTCTCTCCCAGCCTCTCCTCCCAGCTCTCCAGCTTCTTGGCCAGCTCTTGGCTCTGCTGCTCTGACTGCAGTGCGCTGGTAATCTCCATATTCTCATTGGTCTGAACGGAAAGCAGCAGTAAGTAGGATCTAATGTGGCTGGGGTTCCCAGAGTTGCATGTGTGCTCCCTCCTACAGAGCAGGGTAGACCAATGGATCATTCCCACTACCCTAGGGCTCCAGATCATGAGGTGCCTTCGCCACTACCACCTCATGAGAAGTCAACAGCACCCCATCCCTTGTGGGTGCTGACCAAAAGGGATGAGCGTGTTCCCTGTGAGCAAGGAGGGCCTGCGGGCTCCACACCAGCCTGACGAAGCTGCTCTGTGGCTTGGCCAGCTGCTCCTTTAGCTCTGGGTTGCTTGGCTGATGGTGGTGCAGTCACTCTGCATGCTCTCCGGAATCTGCTTGTGCTCCTCTGCCTGCTCGCTCCAGGGCTGGCAGCTGCCCTTCCTGCTCCTGGTTTAAGTGACTCAGACTCTTATTGTCCTGCACCCGGGGCCATATCTGTCCCATTAGACTCTCCAGTTCCTCCCGCAGCTGCTCAACCTCTTCCTGCAGCTGCTCTGTTGCCTTGGGGGGCCCAGCTGGAGGTTCTGGGGATGGCAGCTCCTCCTTAGGCTTCTCAGGCTCCATTGTGAGGCAGGACCCCCACCTCAAGCCTTGGCTTCTTTTCTGTCAGGGTCTCAGATGAGATAAGCAGCGGTAAATGCTTCAAACCACTCTGCTACAGTTCTGTGATCCTCAGTCATCCCAGGGGGTAGCAGTAGGCATGCCATCCTGCTTTGCACAGAGGGACATATGCTAAGAGAGAACACAAGGCTTCTCATCTGTTCTGTCCTGGCAGAGACCCTTTGCCCCTGTTACAATGCACTTACACCCACCTGCCCCCCAGGGCAATGGAAGCCACCTTCATGGCCCTTTGACCCACTCCCACTCTCAGGTCACCCTTGCCCTACTCACCCATCTGACTCCTGAGTTTGGACAATCTGGTCTCCAGTACCTGACTTTCTCTGTGCTCCTTCTTTTCCTTCAGTGTGTGCACCTGCCCAAGGCACAGGGGGCGCTGGAGATCCCAGGCACCATCCATCCCCAGTCCCGCCTCTGCAAAACCAAAGCCCCTAACCCCTCAGCTGCACCACACTGACGTTCAAGAAGAGCAAAGACACCAGAAGAGAGGCCTCACCTGCTCTGCCATTTGCTGTACCCTCTGCTGCCACATGGCACTCTCTCCTTTCAGGTTCTCCGCATACTGGTCTCTCTCCATCTGGAACTACTTCAGTGACTACATCAGCTGCATCAGTCAATGTACAAGTCATTGTCACTGGTTCACACCTGCCCTCGGCCATCTGGGGTCGTGCCCTTCCTCTCCCCCTACAGATCCTCACCTGGCTGACATGGGTCTCCAGCTGGAGCCCGCTCTTCCATGGCCTGTTGTAACTGCTCATTACTGCCAGAGGCCTCAGATTGGCTAGAGAACTGTATGAGGGAAATGAGGGGTTATGTCTGGGAGCCTGTGCTGTTCTGCTGCAGTGCTCCCCACAAGAGTGTGAGCTAGGATGACATCCCGGTGTCATTGCCATATGAGAAAGTGTCAGGAGGAGCTAAGCAGACTCCTGCATGGGCATTTAAATTAAACAGAATGATGGCATTTCAGCAGATATAGGGGCTCATGCCTGCAACCTCAGCACTAAGACGGCTAAGGTAGGAGAATTACCATGAGTGCAAGGCTCACCTGGTGAGTTACAGGTCACACTGGGCTACTGATAAGACTCTGTGTCAACATACTCAGACAGACAGACAGACAGGCAGGCAGTGATAGATATTTTTTCAATCAGGACATTTCAAAAATAAAAATGTAACAGCCACCTCACCCTCACTAAGACTCTGATTCTACAGGTGCAGTCAGGGCTCCACTGCTGAACAGTTACTGGAGAATTCTACCACAGTGTGCCCTCCCCCCAGCCTTGAGCAGGCCTGAAAGACCTTGTTTACCACAATAGACCAAATATTAGGACCTAGGTGGAGTTATCCACCTTGGCTGCACATACAACTGCTACAGGAACTTAGAAGAATAGACTGCCTGAGAAATCTCCAACTGACAAAGGATGGGTTCCCCAACCCATCTCCAGCTGACACAAGAAGGGTTTTGGTGGGGCTTTCCCTTTAAATTAAGAGCTGAACATTAAACTTCAAGCCTTGATCAGAGAACTTTGTCTTGGCTTCATCTTTTCTCACCCTCCTTCCTTTTCTTCATTTCCAGCCCCCCTTTCAGGAGAACCCGGTTGGTCCATGGCCGCAGGCGGCTATACTACAGGACCAGGAGAGGTTCAAACCATTCAGAGCTTGGTTGTAGGCCACGCCCGAGGAGCCACAGACTGTGCCTGGGCCTCTCACCTGTTGCAGCAGCAGCAGCTCTGACATCTCTAACTTCTTCTGCAGCTCCTCCACCCCCAACTGTGCAGCTGCTTTCTCTGCCCCCAGGACTTGAAGTTTCTCTTTCAGTTCTGAGTTCTGTTGCCTCAGGTCCTCATTACTTTTGCTGTGGTCAGAGGCAGAGCAGAAAGGAAGAAACCAAGAACAGAAAGGAATCCATTTCAGAGTGACACATGAGCCTGGCCACACAGCCACAGGACAAAGCACTGAGTCACAAGTGACAGGCCTCAGAGAGACTGAGTGACCTGGGGGTACGCCATGACTCAGGAGCATGGCTGGGACCAGAGCACAGCTCTACACAAACCCAAACCTGTCTCCGCTGAGTCTCCACTCTGCACACTGAGGCTGTGGAGAGCCCAGCCTTCTTGCCATTCTCACCTGTTCTTGTACAGCTCCAGCTTGAGGGTGTCTCACTCTTTGGTTAGGTCCTTGTTGTACTGCAGAGAGAGAAACCGAGTCTAGACCAGGCAGGCTGAAGCAGCAGCTGGCACACCAACGACCCCAGTGATGTTCCACGTGACGTTTCCGCATTTTCTGGAGGCCTGTCTACATCTCCAAATCTCATTTGTGATTCTGTGGGTTTGTTTTGAGATGGGGTCTTGCTATGCAGCTCAGACTGGTCTCAAATGATCTGCTTCTACCTCCTTAGTAGGTGGAACTAAAGGTCCACACCACCAGCCCTAACCTTCATTCAGGGTTTTTTTTTTTTTTTTAATTAAATCCAGATTGTGTATTGTTCTATCACTGAGCCACAACTCCAAGGTTTTAAAATTATTAATTTTTAGACAAGGGTTCATGTATCTCAGGCTGGTCTCGAACTCACTATGTAGCTGAGGGTGACCTTCAACTTCTTATCCTCAGTCCTCTACCTTCTGAGTTCTGGAATTGCAGACAGGAACCGCACCACCACACCCCATTTATGTGGTGCTAGGATCAAACCCAAGGTCTTGTGCTAGCTCCTCCAGAAGGCCCTTTCTAACACATCTATTGGAATAACAACACACCAGTACTTCCTGAGTCAGTATTTCCCAAGAGGAGAGGCACAGCCTTAGAGATGTGGGAGCAGAAAGGGCACCATCCAAACATCATCTCAGAGACAAGTCTTTATAATCCTCCAAATCTAAGCAAACACCACTCCTAACTCCATTAATATGTATCGTGTCTCGAGAGAATCAAAGATAAAAGCTGCTTCAGGAAAGCCTCCTGTCCACCCCGTGGCTCCCAGCACCTCAGGTTGAGATGATTTGGGGAAGTTTCAAGCTGTGAAGTTCAGTTTCCCAGGAACTGCCCCACATTATAGATGCAGTTCGTCCCAGGGAGCCTGACTGGGGTTGCTCTGGTTCCCAAGTAGTAGGGAGTTCAAGTGCAAAGTTCAAGACTCCAAAAAAGACTTCAGAGTCTTTCTGAAGGGTGGAAACCTGAGGAAAAACCAAGCCAACCCAAATCTGTTCCCCTGTGGCCATCAAGGCATGTCGCCAACCTTTCCCCCACTTTGGGTGCACAAGAATTGTAATTTCTCAGATCCTTTCCAACATCTATTTTATATTAATGTTGTTTATTTATGTTAGTTTTTCTTTTCTTTTTTCCTTTCTGTGAAACAGTGCATTTAACTGAGGCATGGATAAGGGGTTATTTATAACAACAACTTAGCAGTGGTACGCTTCTGAAGAAAACGTCTCAGTAACCATTAAAGGTCTGGGATTAATCATCTGGGAGGGATGGCACCTTATCAGCCCTACCCTCTTTTATGATGGAATGTTGTTGAGCCCTGTCTTGTGTGCAGCTAATGCAGGTGACCACGGCTGCTCTGAGAATTTAAAACATAGAATGGTGTGCTCAGAAGAGAGCATCTGTAACCTCCATCCCTTCCTGGAGCTCTTATGTCATGATGATGATGATGGTGATGATGATGATGATGGTGATGGTGATGATGATGCTAGCTTTGTTTTTTGAGACTGAGTATCATGTAGCCTAGGCTAGCCTCTAACTTGCTATGCTAGAAGGTGCTAAGAATGACTCTGAATTCTTGTCCCTATGACTCCATCTCCCAGGTGACAGGATTATAGCTATACACAGTTATGCCTGTGCAGTTACACGCAGTTATACACACCACAGGTGTTATGCTGAGGGTCAGACCAAGAGCTTTCTGTATGCCCAATGTTAGGGGTCAGCTGATTCCACATTTTCTTTCTTTTCCTAGTTAAACATAATGTTAGAATTTGATTTATTTCTATATTGTTCCTTATCATGTTTTTCTCTAATCATATCCCAAGCTAAAGGTCAACTTGGTTTGTTGTTGTTGTTTGTTTGTTAGTTTACTTGTGCCTTCTCTACAACCTTATGATTTACATGTCATAAAATTTTCCATTGTTTCGTATGTTCCAAAAGTTGACTGACCATAAAATGTCTCAAGGGGTGCCGGTAACTGTCTGATTATAAATCCACAATGTGTACCTTTCCTATGATCATAAAAACAACTTTGAGATTCTGTTTTTGTAATCACTTGCTTGCTTGTTATAAAAGGTCTCCTGTTCTTAGTCCAGACTGCTTCCTTCTCTTACTCTTGAGGAGACTGTAAATTTGGCCCAGTCATAAAAATAATCTTCTTTTTTTTTTAAACCTTGCAACATCTAGGTGTTAACTCCTGATTTTCAACACCACAACACCAAAGCTCTTTCATTTCTTCTGCCCCACCCACCCCCTACCCTCCCCACCCCCCACCCGCTTTCCTGATGTTCCCTGAACCTTGGAAAGGTAATAGAGGTGTTTAGGGCTCAGGGTTTAACAGTCACTCACTGTCAGCACTTGACCAGTTGTGATTTTATCTGGAGTCACTGCTGACCACTGGAAACACCCAGCTTCTCTGACTAAAGCTGGCATCAGTACTAATGTATAGGCATAAATATATTTAGAAAGTGATTTGACGATACCATGTCCACTTAACAAAACAGGAGCAGGAGATGACCCAGTATGGCCTATGACCTCTGCAGTAACAGGCTTTCAAACAGGTTTACAATACCAAACATAAGTTACCTCTTGGGAAGTGGGCCTTAAATCCAATCAGAAGCAGTCAGTCACTCCCCAGCCATGCCACGATTGTACCTGTATGCTCGCCCCCTGACAGGACAGTAGTGTACTGTAGCATGCAGGTCCACAGTAAATAAGACTGTTGATGAGGAGTCCAGCAGCCTCCACAGTCCTACCAGCACTGTAAAAATCAGCCCACATCAAAGGGAAGAGGCTTTCTGCTTAGTCCTCACATGGTTTCTCCATGTCATGCAACCAAATTGTGTAGTATGTTCAGGAACAAGGTTTACCATCTAGTTTTGGTGGGACAACATTCTGCACTCTTGGAGCCCTAAGAGTATCAATAGCAAACAACCTGTGAGAGAGAGAATGTGTGTGTGTGTGTGTGTGTGTGTGCCACGTGCCATGGTGCATATGTGGCAGAGGACAAGAAGACAACTGTGTGTGGCTGATTCTTTCCTTCCACCTTTTCTGGTGGGGCTATCTCACTGACTATCATGAGACAGAGTTTGTGTGTTTGTTTGTTTGTTTTTGAGGCAAGGCCTCACAATATAGCACTTGCTGGCCTAGAACTCACTATGTGTAGTGAGTTCCTCCTACTCACAGAGATCCTCCTGACTCTGCCTACCAAATACTGGGATTAAAGTCATGTGCTATCATGCTTGGCTAATTGCTAAGTTGTTTGTTTGGTTGGTCGGTTTGATTTATTTTGTGCCACCCTGACCTTGAAAACGGATGGACTCATTTGCATTCCATGTCACTGCATCAGAGGCCCCTTGAGCCACATCCTCACCACCTTTTGTTGAACCAGAGGGATCATTTTATTCTTTTATACGTGAACATCCCATTTCCCCCATGTTTGTTCCAAAAGCTTTTCTCCCATGTGTATTTTTGGCATCTGTACAGCCTTTGTTGTGTTCCACTGATCTGGGTTTCTGCTTTTGTGCCAGCATGGGATATCTTTGTTCTAATGGCTCTGAAATCAGATAGTATCATAGCTTCACTTGTCAGGTTGACACACCTCGGAGTTGTGTCATCTCAGTTAATGAATTTCCTTCAATGGGTTGGTTGGCCTGTGGACATGTTTGTGGGATATTTGCTCGTTGCTGATTGATAGAGGAGAACCCAGCCCACTGTGGATGGTTCCCTGCCAGGACAGATTGCAGGAGAGCACAGGTTCATGTGCCTGCCTCTGCCTATTGAGTGCTTGCTGGGTTAAAGACATGTGTTATTATGCCTAACTTTAAAGATTTGTTGTTGTTGTTGTTTGAGATATGGTTTCTCTGTGTACCCCTGACTGTCTTGGAACTTTCTCTGCAGACCAGGCTGGCCTTGAACTCACAGAGATCTGCCTGTGTCTGCCTCTGGAGTGCTAGAATTAAAGGCATGTTCCACATGCCAGGCTCTTTTTTTTTCCCCCAAATTGTGTGTATGTGGATGGATATGGGTGTATGCCCTTCAAAGTCAGAGAATTCAAATACCCCTGAAGTTGAAGTTGCAGTCATTTGTGAGATCTAATATTCAGGTGTCCAGATTGAAAGATTAAAGCAAGTTTATCATAGCAATGACAGTTTAGAAGGGGACTGTATCAGGAGGAGTCCAGGGAGGGTACAAAAATCCAGTTTGGGGCCCCAGAAGCCAAGAGTCAAGTCTGAGTTAGGTGTCCAAAGAATCCCTGGCCAGAGTCACACAGAAGTACCTGTACGGCAAGGGCAGAGTGTCTGAGGGTTCCTAGCTGGCTGAGAGGTCTGGCTCCATGGATGCTCAGTCTCTGGCCAGAACTCTGTGGCCTTAGCCAGTTTTCTCTGCCCCATCTTCCAACACGGACACCTAAGTAGGGAAATCAGGGCCACACCAGCATGATCCTAAAGGTAGGGTGCTGCTGAGTGAGCTGTGGGAAGTGACCTTAGGCAGCATAGAAAGTGAGCAAGGCCTAAAGTCCTAGGCCCATTGGTTGATGAGAAAGATGAAGGTTAAGAGACTGTGATCAGGAGCGATGGATGGATGGAGTTAGTTGCTGCTGAGCATACAGGCAGGACCAATCTACAGCTCAACAGAGAGTGGAGGGACCAATCTACAGCTCAACAGAGAGTGGGGGACCAATCTACAGCTCAACAGAGA